GCCAACGAAAGCCGGCAACGCTAGCCGAGGCGCCACGTCAAATTAGGACGTAGGGGGAAAACGTCACATATGTTTAAAATAAAGCGTAAATACTCGGCGCAGTAGCTTGATGTGAAAATTGATTCCCGATGCATCTCTTTAATAATCACTGGGGGCCCTAACTGACCTAACATTAATAAAATTTATAACAACCACCGAGTGGCGATATATGTCCCGCACGACATATGCAGCTATATCCAACCTTAATAAAATGAATTTAAGTATAATATTGTGACAAAATTTTTATTGATTTCTTTAGCATGAAACTTGAAATTTGTGTAGGACAGTGATATTTTCTACTCTGTGTATAGGATTCATGGCAATGATACAGTATATGTGCGAAGACACACAGACGAAATGTCGTCACAGTTAGCCGTACGGATATCATATATAGCTCAAATAAACATGACTTTTTCGACGTAGCATGCAATTCTGGCATTTTGGCAATACAATGGAAAGCAGCACATCTGTTTTTCTAACAAATCGGTTTCATGTTTACTGTTGTTAACTGTGTTAACTACGCATTATAGCTGGTTGGGAAGAACTATGGCATGTGTACAATGTATAATGACAAGCGGAACTATAATTTTATGGTACCAGAGCAGGTATATATCAACGTGCTCTATGATATACGTGCTCTGATGGTACTTGTGTGGTGGTGCCAGCTGGTGTCAGAATCTGCAGATTATTTAAACTGCATAAAACCATACTCAGAGAGAATGCGATGTTATGTACAGAGACGAGTAATTGTAGAGTATTGTCGCACTCTGCCAAATATATTTTGTACATATATTGCTGTTGTACAAGTATGCTTGCCTTGTTTTGAAATTCTGCGCGATTCCAGTACATCAACGTTTGTTTTGGTTAGTTTGCGCAGCGCTCAAGAGATGGCGCGCGTGCATGTGATGATCTTTGTTTTGTTGACATCGTCAGTTGACGCGTGATGGTGTATTTTCCGTTATACTTCTACCAAGTCATAGCGTATTTTCTCTCTAGTCACAGACCAATTGTGTATCAACAGGAACAATATCTTGGGTATGAGTTATAATACCACTTATGAGCGATGTTTCAACAGAGTATGATGCAATCCCACAACGTATTTCTCGCAATCGTGACTCATGGACGTATGCCGGTATGGTGTACATGTAAATACAGTAACAGCAAAGCAGTAACATCATACATGCCACACGCCACGGCACACGTACATTTACATTATCAAACCAAATGTTAAAAGGTATAAAAATCGATCACATGGTCTTTCTAGACTGAGCACCTTAGTGAGTATCATGTGAGATAACTTGTAAGAAACTTGCTAATTAAAAATGATAATAGTTAATACGCCATAATATATTATATATTATAATCTGGTTCGATTAGCTCTACTCTCAGTACTCAGTCAGTCTTAGACTTTGTATGCATAGATGATAGCGTGCATTTGCACTCACGGTTGCAGTTATGCACGCATCGAGCATATTAACTTGGATGATAAAAAATCGAAGCATGTATCATGTCCCGCGGGGTCAAAATATCGCGTCTAATTTAATGCCTTCTTACTAGCAGGGAGGTTACGACATCACTGCGGCGTTTGATGGCAAGAGTTAGTATTTTTTTCATACGTCGCGTGTACGTGTAAGTTCACGCGTGCTCGCTACCAGGTCCTGTGCTGAACGCGCATGAACCCATCCTCATCACAGCTAGGTTATGTCAGGGTCACAGTCCAACATGTCACGTCACAATCTCTCGAATCGCCACCACGTTATCGAGTTCCAGATTGCACCTGCCAAGTAGAAGGCAGGTAGTGGGTAACCAGGGCAATAGCGACCTTTCTTGTTTCAACGTCCAAGCGTTGGTGGTTCGGTATGGAAAACTTCCATTGCGTGATATCAACGTGTGCGTGTAAGTGCCGTAACGCTATATTCACATACATATCATCTAACTGTATAACCCTGTATCTCCTACGTAGCTTGCGTACATGTATGTTCATGGAATCTAACCATGTGTGAATCTCTCACAGTGGCTGCCTCTGCTGTACATATTGACTACCACCACGTTCATAATCATCTAACCGTACGAGAGACGTCCTACGTAAGCGTGCATGCGTGTTCAGTCATCGCCTCTAACCGTGTGTGAATCCCTTACAGAGGCTGCGTTGACCACCAGCACACAGGACGCGGCAGGACGGCGACGCGTGGACCATCATGCAGTACAATGGCATTGCGGAGGCAGTATGGCGGCAAGCGTTCGGACTCTGTGAACAGTTCCTCGGCGGGAACTGGCGCACCCTCGACCATTCCACATTTGCGATCAAGCAAGTGCAGTAAGTTACAAGTAGCTCAGGGTAAAAAATACACGGGAGCGATGAACGATTCGCTCTTCAAACCTCCGAAATCGCTCCCGTGAGGCTCAAAGTAGCTCCCAAAAATTTTTTAACGAGAGCTATTTTTTCCACAGACTTGAAAAAGAGCTCCCGTGAAAAAAGCAATTTTTTCCCTGGTAAGTATTGCGTCTCGGTGCGAATGCATCCATAGAATCATGAGCACACATACACGCGCACGCGTGCACACACGCGCACGCACACTCGCATATATACACATTGATCCCTGATTCATCGAGACATGTCTGGAACGAAGAAAATGTCCTGATTAAATGATAAACACATAGAAACATGTGTAAGGAGTGTTTGTTTAAGATATAAGCCATTATTTAATAAGCAATTATATTTGTTTATCTTAGGGGACGATAAAGTGGGGACCACTGTATATGTATACATATATACATATATATATATATATATTGTTTGTGTTCTTGATAGAATTTACCAATTTTCCAGCGTTCGTGGTCTCTGGTTATGCTTGCGAACAATTTTCTCACCACTCTATTTGGATGCCACGTAGCTATAATTAAGCGACTCTCGAAGCGACAGTGCATTCATTAACTTCTCGTTTCGTTCCCAATGACGGTCCGTGTAAACTTTCCCGAGTCTTGACCAATCTCAGTCACTCCTCTCAGCAGTCTCGCGTTCCCCGCGCTCGTGGCGAGCGAGACTGACTACAACCACAGCTATGTTTACGGCGTCGCCGTCGCGGCAGAGGCCTGCTTCGTGACAAAATGGCGTCGCCTCTCGCAGAGCATGGCCGTCCGCTCATGCGCTCCGTCGGGGCGGGCGATTGATCGATATCATCCTCGACATTTCTGTACGGCGAGATTGGGAGCGATTTCTTGTCGTGGGCGCGTGAGGTTTAAGTTGCGCTGTTTTGCTATCTGACGCGCACCTTGAGGGTGTGTATTACCTGTGTAAGTGGCATACACATCTCGTGTTTTCCTTTTTGTGCCTTCTCCTCTCTCTGTCTGTCTCTCTGTGTCTCTCTTTGTGTCTGTCTGTCTCTCTCTTTGTGTCTGTCTGTCTCTCTCTCTCCTTTTCTCATTGTCTCTCTCCATGTATCTATCACTGCTCACTGCCATCGTCTCTCCCTCTCTTTCTCTCTCTCTCTCTCTCTCTCGCTCACTGCCTTCGTCCTTTTCTCCCTCTCTCTCGCTCTCTCTCTCTCCCTCTCTTTCTCTCTCTGCCTTCCTCCTTTTCTCTCTTTCTCCCTCTCTCCCTCCCTCCTGCCCCTTCTATCTTCCTTACCTCTCCACTCTCTTTTCCATACCTCTCCCCTTCTCGTATTCCTTTTCTTCATCATATTGACAATCTCCCCATAGGTTTCTGCTCTGGTTCCCACCTCCCACACCATTCACCTTCTATCACGGAACTATCCTTCCACCGAAGCCTCCCATTACCTGCTTTTTCCCAATTCCGCGTCCCTCACTCCACCTTCATCCTCCTCCTCGTCTCCCCACCACCCTCCCCACCACTCTCCCCACCACCCTCCTCCTCCCCTCCTCGTTTCCCGCCCCTCCTCCTCGTTCCCGTCCCCTCCTCCTAGTTCCTCTCTTAATCCTCCCACCACGTAATTTTGGGGCACTTTTACTGCTACTGTCAAGTTCGTCCAACATGGATCTACTCCGGCATCCTACAATAGGGCTGCCGTATTTTAACCATAAGATATAGGAGGCTATACGAGATAAATACCATTTTAGGGTTACTCGGTAAAATCTGGCCTTGCGATGACCGGGGAAAAAACGGAGATGCGCATGAAAATCGTGTACGTCCTTAGTGAGTAAACTGGAAGGTGTAAAACCACGAACGCACAGAAGCGCACATACAAATACGAAAACAAACGCTCTCACTACGTAACGGCACGTGTCCGGAACCGCGTACATGAACCGGAACATACGCGTGCGTGCGTGTGTGTTTGCGTGCGTGTGCGCATGTGTTCAAGTTAATACTTATTTACGGGTCACCTGGAAAATGCAAATGCCGATATTCGTGTTACAATAAGATAAATTTAATATAAAAATTATTAATTTACAATTAATTACAAATAACCATACAAAATACCAAAAAATATTAAAATTAATAATAATAATAATAATAATAAAATTAAATACAAAATTAAATATGTAATACCTATTATATCTTTTTGTTAGTTTGTGAACGTTTTAGTACGTGAGGCTGTGTGTTTTCGAGCAGTATATTTAAACCGATATTTACGTGAAATTATTAGGCAAAATAGTAAGTAGATAACTGGTAGTAAATAAAACTCGTGTTCATTTACTATCCTTTTATCAAGAGTGTATAATATGTATATATATATATATATATATATATATATATATATATATTATTGATAATTTTCTATATTATAATATACACTTCTGATTTTATGACTGAGATGGCCTAAGTGCCTGTAGCACGGCCATCTAAACCTCGTGAAACAACCCCGTAGGATGTGTTGCACTGTCCACAGACGTCTATGTCACGATCTTTCTCATGATCGTTGTCTGACCCCGTGATAGCCACGCGTGTGATGACGCCACGAACACCGAACGCATAACGCATCGCGCACCAATCGCACGCGCTGCTCCGCGCGACGTCATCGCTGACATCACGCGCGGTGTTTGTGACGTCACCGGCGCGTGACGTGGCAGGCAGCTAGGTGATCCGGTTAAGACGCACGCACGCGAGGGAGAGAGATTAGAACAGCGTGTAAGCCTGCCCGTACGTACTTGCTTACTCTCCTGTGCTAGTTTTGCTCCGGCGTGCCAATTCGGCTGCGTACACACGCTCGGCTGCCGTTTACTTGCACATAACTACGATCGGACCGGTTCTATGCCTCTATAGTCGGCTGTCTGCGACAGAGAAAGGGCGTACGCGTTTCAGAGACGCTACGGCGTACGTGTAGGCTGTCCGCGTACGTTATACTATAAATATTATAGCGTGGCGTTCGTGCGACAACGCGTTGTTGCTAGAACGCTGAGTTGTGTTGCTAGGACTCTGACGTGTCGTCTGTCACTAGCTGCTGGAGTCTCCACCATGGTGCAGCAGACGCGTAGTGTGAAGCTGAGAGCGGAGGAGCGAGAGCTGGCGCTCAGCATCTGTAAACAGTTCATGCACGGCCGCTGGTCGACGGCGTGCCGCGACCACGTCGACATCTCACGGTTTAGGTAGGCACGCGCGCACGCACACGCACGTACTCACACCCACGCGCGCACGCACACGCACGTACTCACACGCACGCGCGCGCACACATGGACGCGCTCATGCATGGACGCACGTACGCACTCACGCGCAGGCGCACTCACGGGCACGTACTCACGTGACACATGGACGCAGACACGCACGGGGAAATGCTATCCCCGGGCGTGGAGGACAGTACCCCAACGTGGCAGCACTAGTGTTAGGATTAGGGTTAGGATCAAGGTTAGGGTTGGGTTTTTTGCATCATGATATCTGTCCCCACACCAGTAGATTAATTTTTCGTGGATGACACCCTATATATAGATATCCGATATATAGATATTTAGTATTAGGTTATGGTTACTGTTAAGTTTTGAAGTATACGTCAACTGTATCACGTGACGCGTCCCTCCACGCCCGGGGGATAGCAACACCCGACACGCACGCACGCACAAATATGGATGCACGCGCACACGGGTACCTCGTAATTGATACGGACTAGTGTGACCGCACCCTTACACATGTACCCTCCTCACTCCATTCCTCGCACACGTGGTACATGTACCCCTCTTCAACTGCCATTCCTCACAGGCACGTGTACATGTATACCATCCTCACTCCATTCCTCACACAGCGTGTAATGTACGCCTCCTCACTCCAGTTCCTCGCACGACGGTGTACATGTACCGCTCCTCACTCCATTCCTCTACACACGTGTAACATGTACCATCTCCACTGCCATAGCCTCCGCACGACGTGTAACGATGTACCCTCCTCACTTGGTTCCATTCCTCAGCACCGACGTGTACAGTGTACCCTCTCACTGCCATTCTCACACACGTGTACATGTACCTCTGCCTCACTCCAGTTCCTCGCACACGTGTACGCATGTACCCTCCTCACTCCATTCCTCGCAGCACGTGGTACATGTACCCCCGCTGGCCTCACTCCATTCCTCGCACACGTGTCATGTACCTCCTCACTCCATTCCTCACAGCACGTGTACATGTACCCTCCTCCTCCATTCCTCGCACACGTGTACATGTACCCTCCTCAGCTCGCATTCCTCGCACACGTGTACATTACCCTGCCTGCACTCGCATGTTCCTCGCACCACGTGTACATGTACCCTCCTCACTCCCTCCTCACACACGTGTACATGTACCCTCCTCAACTGTGCCATTCTTCACACGACGTGTAATGTATCCACCTCCTCGACTCCACTTCCTCACAGCACAGTACAATGGTACCCCGTCCTCACTGCCATTCCTCACACACGTGTACATGTTACTCCGCTCACGTCCATGCCTTCGCACCCGTGTACAGTGTCCCTCCTCACTCCATGCCTCGCAACGCCGTCCATGTACCCTCTTCCTCCATTCCTCACACCACGTGTACTATTGTACCCTCCTGCACTCCATTGCCTCGCACACGTGTACATGTACCGCTCCTCACTCGCATTCCGTCACACACGTGTACATGTTACCCTCGCTTCACGTCGCCATTCTCAGCACGGACGTGTACATGTAGACCCTCCTCACTGCCATTCCACGCACTACTGTACATGTACGCCTCTTCAATCTCCCCTGCCTCGCACACGTGTAGCATGTCCATCCTCACTCCATTCGCTTGCGCACAGACGTTGTACATGTATCCTCTTCACTCGCATGCCTCGGCACGACGTGTACATGTAACCCATCCTCAGCTCCATGCTCGGCACACCGTGTACATGTACGCCTCTTCACTCCATTGCTTCGCACACGGTGTAACCATGTACCCTCTTCACCTCCATTCGTCACAACCGTGTACTGTACCCTCCTCACTCCATGTCCTCGCACACCCGGTGTACATGTACCCTCGTCACTCCATTCCTCGCACACGGCGTACAAATGGTACCGCTCTTCACTCCATCCTCACACACCGTGTACAGTGTACCTCTCACTCCATTCCTCGGCGACACGTGTACAGTGTGTACTCTCCTCACTCCATTCCTCACACCCGTGTAACATGTACGTTCGCCTCTTCATCCATTTCCTCCACACAGCGTGTACATGTACCCTCTTCACTCCATTCCTCACACACCGCTGTCATGTACTCTTCACTGTGTCATTCGCTCAACACACGGTGTACGATGTACCGTCTTCACCCCATTCCTCACACACGTGTACATGTACCCTCCTCACTCCATTCCTCGCACACGTGTACATGTACCCTCCTCACTCCATTCCTCGCACACGTGTACATGTACCCTCTTCACTCCATTCCTCGCACACGTGTACATGTACCCTCCTCACTCCATTCCCCGCACACGTGTACATGTACCCTCTTCACTCCATTCCTCGCACACGTGTACATGTACCCTCTTCACTCCATTCCTCGCACACGTGTACATGCCACATAATATATTGTCTCGTACGTATGCCCCTGTCCAATGTCCCCATGCCCTCAAGCCTACTTTAGTACCCACGCCCGCGTACCTTCACGATCGCACTAGGATTATGTTAGTTGTGTGTGTTGTGGTGTTTTATGATACCAAGCCGATTTGAGCCGTCGCACCCTACCTTGCAGGCTTGTTCCTATAACATCTGAATATAGCAGTCACCGCTTAATCGGGTCAGAACCCTGACAGTATCCCGATTAAGCGGTGAATGTGTCTTTAGCGTGCGAAACGTGAGGATTGTGTTTGGCAAAGACACGTGTCGTTTAAGCGATGTGCGCCCGTTTATCCGAGGCCCGATGTTTGACTACTACTCCCCCCCCCCAACACGCTGGTGTCGGCATTCGGCTTTATCACGGCATGAAGACCTCTTAATCTGGGTTTACACTACCGACTTTATGCATGCTGTCAAATTGGCAAATTGGACCAATTTCGCAACTATACAATCGGCAGTGTAAACGTAAAAGTTGTGCGAGGAATAAAAATGGAACTGGAAACTGGAATAATAGCAACTAGTTGGGAGATTAGAACATATTCTATTTTCGCCAACTCTCTGTTGCCGAGTTGCATAATTGGTTCAATTCGCCAATTTGACAACATAAAGTCACATAAAGTCGGTAGTGTAAACCCAGCTTTACACACGGGATCACAGTTTGGCAGCAAGAGTTAATTACCAAGTCGCTGACTACTATACTGCTTCTGTTCCACAGGCACAGCACATACTGTTGGCACCCTTGCAAACAGTATTGCGTAATGCAGTAGTCGTAGTGTATGATGTGTGCGTACTGCGTATACACAAATGTTACAAAAACGTGACACGCGTTACTGTATGTGAGTTAAACGTACATTATAGATGGCTGTGCCTCGTTTGTATTAATATTAATATATGATATATGTATATATATATATATATAATTATATATATATAGTATATAATTATCAGGGGTTAATAATGAAGAAATTTTCATTTTTGGTAGGTTCTCCCCAGCTGAACTATAACAATTGTATTAGTTTATCATATTGTAACTTAGTATTAATTACGTAACATTGTTATAGTTTCAGTGGGTTTCTCACTACTCCTACTCTCGCCCAGGTTCTCGATAACATTTTTCTAACTCTCGAAAAGAAGCGAACAGCTCTTTTGCACAAAGCGTGCGAATGTGGTGAACGCTTTCCCAGTTCTGTAGTAGCAATAACATAATCTCTGTAGCGCGTGACCGTTTCTTGGTGCTTACAACTGTACCTAAACAACACAGGAATTACACGATGCTCAACATTAATGCTGATAACGTCATATTCATGATAGCGCTAAGATGTGTGCGTGTGTGTGTGTCGTGCGTGTTGCGTGCGCTGTGGTGTGTGTGTGCGTGCGTGCGTGCGCGGTGCGTGCGCGCACGTGTGTGTGTGTGTGCGTGTGAGTGCGTGCGTCGTGCGTGCGTGCGTGCGTGCGCGCGTGTGTGGTGCGCGCGCCGCGTGTGTTGATGTGTGCTGCGTGTGCGGTGCGCGTGATGTGTCGTGGTGCGTGTGCGTGTGCGTGTGGAGTGCGTCGTGCGGAGTGCGTGCGCGCAGCGGTTGTGTGTGTGTGGGTGTGAGTGCGTGGCGTGGCGTGCGTGCGTGCGTGCGCGTGTGCGCGCGGCGCGCGTGTGTGTATGTGTAGATACTGCTGGGTTTGTATAGTGTGATTCCACCATAGGGGGAATGTGAGAGGTGTTATATGCGGTTGCTTCAATAATCGCGATTCTATATAAACGTGTGTCGACACAATTCAGCCATAACTCACCCACTCACACCCGCGAACTCCACGCACGCACCACTAACCATGCACTCACGCCCGGCATTCACCACAGCACACGCACACGCTATACAACACACACACAACACACTACATCACACACACACAGCACCACACGACACACACACACGTTACCACACCACACACCACAATACGCACACGCACAACGACACGGACACGCACACACACAACACGTACAACAAATCCCAACCGTACACCACACAACGGTAACACACACCACGGACAGCCACACGCTACACACACACGGTATCACTACACACGTACACACACCACCGTACACACAACACACACTACGTAACATACACACGCACACACAACTGCGCGACACGACACCACAGCACATACAACACACACCTACACAATACGGACACTGCCACACACACGACACTACCACGTTACCACACACGCACACACCACACGCACGATACACACACAGCACAGTAGCACACCACACGCACCACACGTAGGCACACAACGGAGTACAGATTACACAACCGACACACACGCACACACCACGCGCATCACAGCACACCAACACATCACACACACACATACGCACGACGACAGCGGTGACACGCACACGTACAAGCCACACGCACAACACACGCACACACACCACCACACACTACACACCAACACAGCACACACACACACTACACAACTTGGAGCGCTATAGTGATATTTGTGTAGTCAGCATTAACGTTAGCATGTTAATGCTGGTTGTTTTAGTAATGTTG